CTGGGATTTCGACCCCAATTTTTTTAATTATTCTGGAGATGAAAAAAAAAGATACGTGTCCCGGCGTTTGATTGAATAGGCCTTAGTTTCGGAGTAATAAATTTGTGAAAATTGGCTATATCCGAAGCGCACCGCGGCGCGCCATATGAGCCTTCCCGGTAACTGTACTTCCACAACCAGTGCAGTTGGCTTCGTGAGTTAGGTTCATAATTCGTAAGATCCAAGTTCGCTCACGGAGGTGAGCAATAATTTTTTTTTTAATGAGTGTTTTTATTTATTTTTATTGATGAATAAATGAAGAAGTATCACATACACATTTATTTTTCCGTAAGTCCGGGGGGAAACATTTCGTTGACGTTTCGAAACACATTTCTTTCAGGAATTAATTTTGATGCAAACCAACCGTACTTGATCATATCTGTAAAAGCTCCCGATGATAATTGTGAATGAATTAATGAATGAATCTTTTTATACTATATCTTTTTATACTATATCAATATCATCAAAATAAATAAAAATAAATAAAAACACTCATTAAAAAAAAAAATTATTGCTCACCTCCGTGAGCGAACTTGGATCTTACGAATTATGAACCTAACTCACGAAGCCAACTGCACTGGTTGTGGAAGTACAGTTACCGGGAAGGCTCATATGGCGCGCCGCGGTGCGCTTCGGATATAGCCAATTTTCACAAATTTATTACTCCGAAACTAAGGCCTATTCAATCAAACGCCGGGACACGTATCTTTTTTTTTCATCTCCAGAATAATTAAAAAAATTGGGGTCGAAATCCCAGAGTGAGTCACCTGGTCCTCCCCTGTTAGTTCAATTTAATTTAAGACTATGAAACTAGGTTTAGCTTTTCGCTAATTATAATAACGAGCATTGCACAAACAGAGATCTTCCGTGGAAAAATAAGTCTTTTGTCGATACACGTACGCATTCCTCCAAAATAATCTCTGCATTACGCGACAATTTCCATTCGCATAATGCATTATTGTACTTCGTCGCGAAACTTCCGGCGTTTCGAGAAGAGAAACTTCTCTCCACACGCGCAATGCGTTCTGGACACCGTGTACAGAATAGAAAAGAGGATGAGTCCAATTTGGATACAACCGAGGAGGATGCTCCTTCTCGTCAAAGAAGTACTCGTTCTCTTTTCTCCTTCTCGTTCTTCTACTTCTTCTTCCTGTTAGTTACCTCCAACGCATCTCTCTGCTATTCAAAACAGACTATCCAATATTCGCGGTACGTATTGACGTAAGTGCCAACAAGGATTCGCTGCTTGTTTGCTAAAAGCAGCCGAACGCTCTCGACCCAGTTAACGGAAAGTCGTGCAATTTTCCGCACAAGTAGTCTGGCTTTTACTATAGGCTTCCACCGTCGCAGAATATTTAATTGCATCCAGAAAGCACTCTTCGGCCGTAAAGCGTTTCACGTCGTTTAATAACAGCGACGATGCACCCGAAAGCAATGAAAATATATGAGCGAAAAAATCCGATTTGCTTTATTAGCAATCGCGATCGCCGTTACGACGCAATCTATTGGAATAATTATTTCAGATCTTTACCCCGTTATCGAAGTTACGGACGCGTAAAATTTAGTATA